CACTAGACTGCTGAAAGGTGGTCACTTTCGCTGCAGATGTTGGGCTCATCGATGACATTGACCATACTGAGCGGGCCCGCTGAGCTCCAATGATCTCACTTGGTTGAAAAGCATGCAGTTCAGATCTTCTGCGGGTAATGACATGTAGTTGCTTTGACCATTCTTCACTTGTCCATGCTCTGCCCGTTGATTCACGCCAGATCTCGCGCCACTGGATTCTCTTGTTGCGTTTGCTTCCCGGGCGCCACGTGGAATTCGACTACGAATGGTCAATGGATTGTACCCAGATATTTCGAATACGACATTTCTCCTGGGCTTGTTGATGACAACCCACAAGAATGGGTCCGTGTGTACACACCTGGACCTTGGAATTCAGTGGTCTTTCACACCACTGGCCCACCACTGGTTCTGCACAATACCTATCGCGAGTGGAGAAAATTCTATGATGCTTCATGCGTGACAGTACTGGCGGAACTAACCCTGCTGCCCTTTCCCAGCCCATCTCCTATGTCACATCCTACACATGGCGAGGGGATGGCAGAAACTTGGCTACCCCACCTTCAGACACACACTTCCTTCTTTGAGGCCACCGACGCGTGGGTCCTCTTCAGCGTCTTCTTCGTCGGCTCATTGGCAGCAGACGGAGCGTGGAGAATTCCACCCCCTACCTCTGCGGCAACTTCACAACCAGGCCTACCTGACTCTGCGGTTGACTGGAACAGCTGAGTCCGCCTTTGATGAGGATCAATGCGTTGAAATCAGTTCAGTTCGCGTGGCCGTCTATTTGTGATTGTGATTTCACGCCGCGCTCGTTGTTACATGTCTTGTGTCTGTTGCGCTTGATAGACCTTTCTTGACAGGGCGCATTGAGCGGCTGTTAGCAAAGGACCTCCTTCCTTCCTTTTAGCATCGTCAGAGTCCTGCATCGTGGCTCCCTGGTGACATTAATGAGGACCCGGCTGCTTCCTTCAATGTAAAGGGAATGGAAGATGTGGCCAAAACAGATCACTACTGCCCATTAAACCTCCATTTCAGTGCAAGCGTGATTGGACCACTGCAGGCTTTCGCCGCATCGCACCTTCTGAACCTGAGCTTGAGCCGCCCTTAGGTCATCACACCCATGCGGAACTACCACCTCTTGATCCACTATGCAGCCGTTCCACAGCCTTGAGATCACCACGCATTTCTAGATGCGGCCTCACGCGCATCCAGGACATTGTTTGGCTGCAGATCGCCAGCCGCACGCGCAATGAACAAGAAGCTCCTCATCAACACCCTGCAACAACTAGCTCATTGATTCATCTGACTTCCCAACCATCGGCATCAGCAAGTCCATCTTTGATGACGGCGTGGCCTAACAACAATGTAACAAGCTGGAGATTGAAAGTCCAAATGCATGTTTGTGATCTTGTTGGCTGTGCGTCGTGCCCGTTGTGTTTGATTTGTACTTTGCTCGCTGAGTGGTTCAGATTCAACTTGGAAGTTGGGAGTTGTTCGCGCCTCATACCTTTCATACTCATGGATGTTGAACATCAAGCACTCGATCTCGGAGGTAACAAAGATCCTGCACCGTGGTTAGAGTACCGCCGTTGGGGCGGTCATGAGTGGGTCTAGATCCTCTACCCTTGTGATGCAGTTACAGGGGCTGGAAACCGGTTCTGCCTGACGGACAACAGCCTCATGGGCACGAGTGGCACCATCCACATGACCAGTCGTGCAACTACGACACCTGGCAGAATCCAGGCTATCAGCGGATTCTTTCTCGGAATGAACCCTTTGCTCTTCAACCTCACCTTGCTGCCATCAACGAGACTACGCCCGCAATTGACCATGCAAGCCAAGAAACCTCCACCCCTCCTCACCGCTGATTGCTGACCTTGCCCGCTCTCATTTGGTCTTCCCCGCTATGACGCAGACACTCATCGCTCGTGGATCATCGGCGTCTTTGTCACAACACAGCGATCTCGCGGACCCTTCTGAGTGTTGGACGTGAAAATTCACGTTCCCCGCGCCGCTCGGGATGTTAGGATCACTGTGTGCGTGGGCTGCATCTTCCATGGAAAGAGTCACTCGCTCCTCATGCGGAGCAACAGATTTACCCTGTTGCCACCTTTCCGATTCTCAGCGGGGGGCACACGCCCATCGTGGTGACCTGTGCCAACGAAGCTAACAAGCATGGGGGAAGCGCGGACTGATCATCCGCGTTTAAGGTCTATTTGCATGATTGCGTTTGCTTTTCTTTGCCGGTTGAGCCGCCGGTTCTTTCGCACGCAGCCTTCAGTTGTGCTCGAAAACCCACCCGCTCGGGGTGGGTGGATGGGTGTGGGTGAGTGGGTGGGTGGCTGAGTGAGTGAGAGCATGAAAAGCACGAAAAGCGAGCTCTATTTCGTCGTGAACAGTAACACTGCAACAAGCAGGGTTTTGAGCTGCGCAGGTGGCCTAATCACACTATTGTCACGGGCCGCTAACGCCGAACGGCACATGTTGTTGTTGTTGCTGCTGCCGCTGCGGCTGCTGCTGCTGTTGTGGTTGTGGTTGTGGTTGTGGTTGTGGTTGTGGTTGTGGTTGCGCGGTTGCGGTTGCGGTTGCGGTTGCGGTTGCGGTTGCGGTTGCGGTTGCGGTTGCGGTTGCGGCTGTGGCTGTTGCTGTTGCTGTTGCTGTTGCTGTTGCTGTTGCTGTTGCTGTTGCTGTTGCTGTTGCTGTTGCTGTTGCTGTTGCTGTTGCTGTTGCTGTTGTTGTTGTTGTTGTTGTTGTTGTTGTTGTTGTTGTTCCTTTCGACGCTCTGGGCGCGCGCGCATTTCTGGAGCGCCGCAGCGCACGACGAAGGCCGATTTTACTGGGTCTCAGCAAGATTTGCTTCTGACGCACGCGGTTTGCGGGGCACGTTACCACGTTTTGCACACTATTTGATAGGAATTGACCACACGCAGGTTCTGTTCATTTTGTATGGGTTTTTAGAGGATTCGGAGCATTCCACAGAGATCTTGATTCGGACACCTCGCAAGTTTTTTTGCTTCGGCTTGACCGAGGTGGTTTTGGTCTTCTTTGCATGTGTTTTTTCGCATTCGGAGTCATTCACAAGCAGGCCAAAATTCGGACACCTCGCAAGTTTCTTTTTGGGCTCGATTTGAGCAGAATCAACATTGCAATCCACCTGGCCCAAATAATAAGAACCCACGCCCACGGGCTTTTTTTCGGGGAACTGTAACCACCTGGCCCAAATCCCACACGTTTTTTTTTCAGGGAACTGTATCCACCTGGCCCAAATCATAAGAACCCACGCCCACGGGCTTTTTTTGAGGGAACTGTATCCACCTGGCCCAACTTTCTTCGGGGAACTGTATCCACCTGGCCCAAATCATAAGAACCCACGCCCACGGGCTTTTTTTGAGGGAACTGTATCCACCTGGCCCAACTTTCTTCGGGGAACTGTATCCACCTGGCCCAAATCATAAGAACCCACGCCCACGGGCTTTTTTTGAGGGAACTGTACCCACCTGGCCCAACTTTCTTCGGGGAACTGTATCCACCTGGCCCAAATCATAAGAACCCACGCCCACGGGCTTTTTTTGAGGGAACTGTATCCGCCTGCCCAATTTTCTTCGGGGAACTGTATCCACCTGGCCCAAATCATAAGAACCCACGCCCACGGGCTTTTTTTGAGGGAACTGTACCCACCTGGCCCAACTTTCTTCGGGGAACTGTATCCACCTGGCCCAAATCATAAGAACCCACGCCCACGGGCTTTTTTTGAGGGAACTGTATCCGCCTGCCCAATTTTCTTCGGGGAACTGTATCCTCCTTGGCCCAAATGATAAGAACCCACGCCCACGGGCTTACCCACCTGGCCCAAATGATAAGAACCCACGCCCACGGGCTTTTGGAGAACCCACGCGCTGTTTTTGAAAAACTATATCCACCTGGCCCAAATGACCACTCCCACGGGCTTGTTTCGGGGGACTGTACCATACATACAGTACAGTACATACATACAATACATACAATACATACAATACATACAATACATACAATACATACATGCATACCGTACATGCACGCATGCAAACAAACATACATACATACATTACATTACCTTACCTTACATTACATTACATTACATTACATTACATTACACTACATACATACAGTAATATACCACCAAACCTGCATACATACATACATACATACACTGCGTACATAGCATGACAGAACATAACATAACATCACATAACATACATGCATACATACGAATACATAACATTGCATTACATTACCATACGTAAATACATGCATACATTACATACACGTACGCATACACGCATACATACATGCATACAGAAATACATGTCATGGCAGAAATGGCATACCGTGACACAACAAAACAAAACAGTACATATATATATGCGCACATTACGTTACGTGTTGTTGTTGTTGTTGTTGTTGTTGTTGTTGTTGTTGTTGTTGTTGTTGTTGTTGCTGTTGCTGTTGCTGTTGCTTCTGTTTTTGTTGTTGTTGCTGCTGCTGCTGCTGCTGCTGCTGTTGCAGTTGTTCTTTTCCTGGCTCTCGTTCTTCTTGTTGTTGGTGGTGTTGGCCTGCACAACTTGCTCCATGCCAGCTGCCCTGCGCAAGTTGCTCCGGCTGCCTTGGTGAAGCGGTTTTAAATTAGTGCCAAAAGGCACCGCTCCGCGCTGTATCCATGCCTGACAATTGGTAGGCACCGCTCAAGTGTGCGTGTGTGCGTGCGTGCGTTCGCGCTTGCTTGCTTGCCTGCTGCTGTTGTCTTGTCTTTGGTGTGTGTTGTTGTTGGTGATGGGCACATGCTTCTGGGCCAGCTTGAAGCTCAAAACCTGTACCATGTGTGTCTATCATATTCAAGTGGAAAGCAACCAAATGCATTTCACATCTTATATTTCCCAATTTAGTCTCTCGCTCTCCCTCTCCCTCTCTGCACTCAGTGCTGCTGCTAGCAGCTCCGAGCAGTTCTGTTGCAAATGAGCCACTGAAGCCGCAGGCAGAGGTAGAGGCGGAAGGCCCCAGGATGCGGGCTTCCAAAGGGGCTGCTTCTGACACTGCGAGGCTGAAGTTGTAGGAAGTTGCTACGGCCTCGACACGCTGGGTGCAACAAGATTGAGCAAAGCAAGAAGCAGGGACTGGGTAAGAGCTGAGAAAGGGGTACATTCCTGTAGTGGCAGGTAAGTCATCGCCAAGCTTTGCCAGCTCCTAAAACCGTGCGACAGTGCGCGCTCCTGCCAGTCCTTCCCATTTATTCCAATAAAACGCCCTAACTCGGCAAGGTTGGTTCACACACTTTCCTGAATCGCTCGCTCTTCCAGTCGCTTCCGGTCCTGGCTGGCGTAGCGGGCGCTGGCCCGCAGCGAGTGCTTCGTGCCGGGAGCAAAGGTGAAGGCCCCAAAGCGGACGCCGCCAGGGCGGCGGTCCAGGTCCACCCTGACAACCGAAGCACTCGAAGCCGAGAAATGCCGAGAAGAGGACAAACAGAGAGTCAAGAAAATCATGTGATTGGCCAGACGCCACGGTCAAAAGCCATTGTCTGCTCTGTTTGGATTCCCCAAGTTCTCGACAAAAAAAGGCAGTAAGGAGTAGTAAGGAGTAGTAAGGATACGTGGACTGGTAGTCCAACGATCTTTCTCAATCTCTTGACTTCCAAGCGTCTTTCCAGAGATGGCCAGGTCCATCCACGGCCCCGAGTCTTCCCGGTACTCCCAAGTGACCGCGATCGAAGTCGAAGCAATCGATGTGTTTCCGCAGGACGAGTGAGCCTGTCAAGTCAGGTCTGTCAGGATTCTCACACTCCGGCTCTCTCACTTGAATCTCAAAGCAACAGGTACGCTTCGTTGCCAGGGAGCTCTCGTCTCCACAGAGAAGGCCACTGGCTCGCCTCAAGCTCACGGTTTCACCGCACGCGTCAAAGGCTCTGAATTTGGAAGCCTAGCAGCTGTTGAAGATGAAGGCTGAGACGGAGGATGTGGGTGAGACGATTGGCATGGGCTCTTCTGTGCTCTCCAAATAGACTGTGGCTGAGGCCTCGGAACACACACAGAGAGAAAAAATACTTCCAGCTGAGAACAACACCTGGTCAGACATGCCCAGCCAGTTGGTGATGTCGGCCACAAACTCAAGCCTCAGCGACATCTATACGGCCTCTCTCCTCTCTTTCTTACATCTCCCGCTTCCGTCTTGCGTCCACATAGCTCAGCCGCGGGCTTCATTTCCAAGGAATGGAAGAGAGACCCCATTTCAGCCTTGATCTGTTCCACGGCGGCAAAGAATTCCTCTTCGGAGATCTGAAAGGAGATCCTTGCAGTCCAGCAAATCGGTGCACCCAGCTCTGCATCCGTCTCCCGTCTCCGCCCGCGCCATGTCTTTTTGTCCAAGTGGCTCAGTTGTGTCAAGCTTGGCCTGCCGGGGAAGCGAATCCGAAACAAGCAAGCGGACACCCAAGAATGCTAACCGAACCAGCACATACAAAGCAAAGCACAGGTTGGAAAAGCCGATATCTCGTTACAAGCTGATTTTGACCTCAAAACCCGATTACCCCCTGGCTTGGTTTGGATTTGGATTTGAACCGGTTCTGGACGTAGACCCAAGCTCCCAAGCCACATCAGCTGCTCCCCGGACGTGTTTCATCGGTTTTCTTCTGGACGGCTGCTGTTCCTTTGCTTTTGGGGTGTGTCAAAAGAGGGGATCCCCAAATGCCTGTGGGTCAAAAAAGGGTACCCAGAATGGAGCCAAATGGAAACATGGACCCAAACCTGCGGTCCTCTGGCATTTCCTTGGAATTCGCAATCCGTTCGACGTTCCAACGTACCCGTTTCGACTTCGGACTTCACATTTCGCCTCAAGCTGCTGCGCCAGCTGCGGCGTGCTGCCGTTGCCAAAGCTCCAGGCCACGGACCGCAAACCCCGCACGGCTGTGGACGTGGATGCAGTGACCTCAGTGAACAAAATTCTTTGAAAAAGAAAGAAAGATACCAAACTCGATCCAAAAGAGCAAGAAGATACCGATTCCGTGACAAGCTTATTAAGCCCTGCGTCCGAAAACCGCATCCGTTCAACCCGTCTGAATCCCCCAATTTCCGCCAATGGGGCGGTGGGCCCACGCCGAGCTGCTGAGATGCGGCTGCAAGCTTGAGCCCTTGCCGGGGATGCCTGAACCACCTCGGTGACAAGCAAAAGGAAAGAGAGAAAAGCATGAGATTAAAGAGAGTTAAAGTCACTAACATCTCAAAGCCACTGCCCGTGGCCGTAGCATGGGCTGGTTGCTGAAGGCAAAGGCTTCTGCAGATGCCATGAGCTGGCCGGAGCGGGTCGTGAGGGAACCCGGCAAGATCTCGACTCTGCTACCTGAGTCAGCACCTGTTAACCGACGGCGCCGGCCGAAGTTTGTACTTTTTGTTTGCTTTAAGTACGCGGGATGCACTTTCGAAATCCGGGCGACCTCTATGTGCTCAGAGCCATTTTGCCGCACACTGGTTTCCGGAAAGGGAGACAGTCCGTTGTATTTGGGGCTTGACAGGCACTGACATTTCACAACGAATTTTAACACCTCGAACCCGGTCGACTCTTTCCCCACCTTCTCTCTGTCAGAGCCCAGAACTCTGAGGCGTGACACTCCGACTCTGGGGAGGGAGGGGGATCATGCATCCGACGATGACATCACGCTGCGCACGTTGCGAAATTGCAGAAAAACAGCTGTCAATGAAAGCTCTATGCATGAATGCGCAAGAAGTTGTCAGTCTGAAAGCGATGCGCGCAGCGGCTTCTTTCATGGTGATTGCAAACAAAGTCAGCATAAACGCCACCAGGAGCCCTCAACTGTCAAAACTGCTCTGTTAATCCAGTGCAACATCATGTCCAATATCCACATATAACGACATGTGCGCCATGTTGGCCAGCTCAATCTGTGAGCACAGTGCATACAGGCAGCCGATCGTGATGGTGGAATCCATTCCCAATGTGATCACCAAGTTCTTCCCGTCAAGCAAGCTGCAGGTTGCTGAGGAACCGATCCTGACTTGCTGACAATTAGAGCGGAACTGACATCTGACTGCCTAGCACTAAAAAGTAAGCTCTGGTGATACCCCCAACAGCACCCCACCCGCCTGTAGCGCTATCAAACAAGCTGATAGAATTTCAAGCAAGGCAATTGCGAGTCGCGAGCAAACCTCTCTAAAGTGGAAATCAGGATCTAAGGTGACAAGTCGTTTAACTACTAGCGAGGCAGCATAAGAAGCAGAGCCCATATCAAGAATAGGATTTTTTGTGGCGTGGGGTTGCTTCTAAGTGTGGCGACCAGCAAAATAGTTGGTTTCCTTTTGGCTCGCATGTGATGAGTTCGGCTGTCACACCCGGATTTTGTGACGGAATGTTTGGTTTCATGCGCCCACTTTTTGAGAGGACTTCTTTCTTTCTGCGAGGCCTTTCTCTCACAAACTTGACTTCCACAGGGGGGGAGATTTGTAAAAAAACAATGACATTCGTCACAAAACAATCCAAACATCACTTTAAGAGAAGTCTGGCCCGCTCCGGCCACACATAGCGCAGAAATTGCCCCACGCAATTTATGAAGAATGCCCATGACATCCGTCGCAAAATCAAGGTGTGACAGCCAAACTCGTCACAGTACCAGCGGGGTGACAGTTGCGCAATCTTTGCAAAGAAGACCCCAACATTCCCCACACTTGATGGAAGACTGCGAAGGCGCACCCCAGGCAACTGAACAAGACACCCAAAGGGAACCCAAAGGAGTTTCGGCGCAGGCCACGCTTGATCGTCTTTTTCTTCGCTAGCCCTCCATCAGGGACGCCAGCAGCTAGCGAAGGTCCGAGAAACCATAGCAAAAAAACCGAAGACTGGGCACACACACACACACACCCCGAAGGGGGAACACAGGGCAGACGAACCAAGGAAAAGAAAGGAAACCCAGAACAGACCAAATTTTGGCCTTTTGCCTCTTTCGCGCCTACTGCTCAATTAGATTTGCTGGAAGAGGGCCCATAAAGCCGGTAGCGCTGGACACCGTCTTGGCGTGTAGACCGATCAGGCCATGGAGGAGGTAAAAGCGAAGCACGATCCGCATCAGCCGTGAGTGAGGGCATGTTGGAAGAGGCGGTAGCAGCGGTGGACATGGTGGCTGCCTGGAGACGCCAGGTCGCGTAGGGGCGTGATCCATAGCATCAGGAGTGGCCTGCGTCGCAAACGAGGACATAGCTGTAGAGCGGGCGCTGGAAGGAGGGGCAGCAGCACAGCGCATAGCAAATGTCCTCTGACGGCTCATCCGAATCCATGGTCGGGCGCGTCAGGGACGGCGTGCCACAACGGGTCCTGAACGTCCTGCCAGCCGTTGCATTCCCAGTCCTGATAGTAGGTCGCGAGGGTGGCCCGGACGAGTCCGTAGATCCACCACGGCAAGGTTGAGAAGGTCTCAGACCGGTCCGGCTGAGATGCCAGGATCCAACGCTTCTTCTTGAAGATCTTCACCTGCTCCTTTCCCGTGGAGAAGTCGATCCTGTATTCCAGCTAAGGTTCATTGCCGAAGATGAAGCCGCCAACCATGATGATGGCAAGGGAGGGCACTGAGCAGTGAAAGAGCTGTACCGCCGCGGGGCCAAGCCATAGATGCTTGTTGGTGCAGCACAGGGGACCATCAGGGGACCAGAAACAAAGACCCCAAACACAAAGGACAAGGGTAGCAGACACTCTTTTTGCGCGGGGCCGTGTTGGAGCCTATTTGGTGTTCTTCCGATGCGTTCCACGGTCATCCAGCGCGTCATGAGGTCTCCGCCTCGAGCTCCTTCGGCAACTCATACGCGCCTCCTTCAGCAATTGCGCCGTCGGCTGAAGCCTTCACCACGTGGTTCTCCGCCGCAAAGGGCGGTGACTGACAGGTTGGCTTGGCCTTGACTGGGATCGCAGGTAGTGGTCCTGCAGATGGCAGCGAAGTCGGTAGAGGAGCCGATGGTGCGGCTGCCGAAGGAGA